GGGGGGGGGAGGGGCACGGCCTGAGTTGCCCGGCCACAGTTTGTAGGTGTGGAAGGCTTCATCACCGGCCTGCTGGACCTCCTCCCGGCCTCCTACTGTTTCCGCTTCCAAAGAGAGATCTCCGTGGCCCTCTGCTGCGCCCTCTGCTTTCTCATCGATCTCTCCATGGTGACCGATGTGAGTGGGGGCAGGGTGAGGGACGCCCCTGGCCTCGGGCTGCCGGCTGCCACCTTCCCTGACCTGGCTGCATCCCCAGGGCGGGATGTATGTCTTCCAGCTGTTTGACTACTACTCAGCCAGCGGCACCACCCTGCTCTGGCAGGCCTTCTGGGAGTGCGTGGTGATCGCCTGGGTGTACGGTAGGTCTGGGCCGACAGGCAAGCCGGGGGTGCGGCGCGGTCAGGGGTGGTGCGTCTCTAGCTCTGGCCCTCCGGCCTCACGTGACCCCAGGAGCCGACCGCTTCATGGACGACGTGGCCTGCATGATCGGGTACCGACCTTGCCCCTGGATGAAATGGTGCTGGTCTTTCTTCACCCCGCTGGTGTGCATGGTAAGGGCCGGGAGAGGCCGGGCAGGGCGAGGCGCAGCAGGGGCCCGCAGCGGTGGCTGCCGGCTGAGCGCGAGGCTTCTCGCCCGCAGGGCATCTTCATCTTCAACGCGGTGTACTACAAGCCGCTGGTCTACAACAACACCTACGTGTACCCGTGGTGGGGCGAGGCCGTGGGCTGGGGCTTCGCGCTCTCCTCCATGCTGTGTGTGCCCCTGCACCTCCTGGGCCGCCTCCTCAGGGCCAAGGGGACCGTGGCTGAGGTCAGTTCCCCGCGCCCGTCTCCCGCACACCATCCCTCCCTCCCGCTGGCTGGAGACGTGACCTCCAGAGCGCCCTGCCCCTTCTCCCACCCGCCAGGACAGACCGCTGTGCCGGAGCCTCCGGGCCAGCCCGGAGCGGGGCGTGCGGGAGTTGAGTTGGCCCTCCAGGGCCTCGCTCAGGTGGTGGAGGCGGAGGAGGCCTGTCCCTAGCCTCTGTTCTGGCAGCCACTCGGCCCTCCGCTGAAGCCCTATTTATTTCCCTGGCGAAGGGAGCGGGGCCCGGTCAGGAGGGGCGCGGGCGCGGCCCCGGGCCCCAAGTTGGTGGCAGGTGGCGGGAAGCGGAGAGAGGCCAGGGACAAGCAGGTGCCCCTCCCCCGGGACTCAACGTGGCCCTGGCTCCCGCAGCGCTGGCAGCACCTGACGCAGCCCGTCTGGGGCCTCCACCACTTGGAGTACAGAGCTCAGGACTCGGATGTCAGGGGCCTGACCACCCTGACCCCAGTGTCTGAGAGCAGCAAGGTGGTGGTGGTGGAGAGCGTCA